CCCTTCCCCAGCTTCTGTCACCTCATCTCCTGAAGTTAACTTGTTGTTCAACACCATCTAGCCACCAATCTGCCTGCCACCAGTCACCTACAACCCTCCATACTTGTTGTCTTCGCAATTCTGCACCTTCCCCTCACTGTCATCAGCACTCCCTTACTGCCACGACACTTGCCAACCATCTTGAACCATCTAGTCGATCTCCACCTCTCTTAGAATACACCTTAGAGGTGTTGCTTCTGTCGTGTATTTTGTGCTGTAAACCTATTTGCCTATTAATAAGAGTGTGTTTTTGTATTTTTATTGTTTTCCTTACCAGTTTCAGTATCACATTCATATTAACATGCATACCACTCAAATCATTAACATCACATCAAAAATACTGACATCATTATCTTTTTAAAAGCGAAATACACTTTTTCATGCATAAATTTATGACGCCAAGATAGTACAAGCATAAATATCAAAATTTGGATCTTATTTATGTAAATACATAAGAATAGCGTTGTATGTATGTAAAATTTTTCAAAAAATAATTATCTTTACAAATAAAATCCCGCAAACAAAAAAAAAAAATCTTATCTAGCCCAATAAGATCTAATTTGTCGAAATCAAGATAATAATGATATGCTCTACTTTGTGGAAAAATAAGTGTAGATGCAGCCCTAAAGCAACTAAAGAGGTGATCCTAATCGGTCAATGTCCCTTGAGCTAACCTTGTTGTGTTGTTGTGATATATTTGAAATTTAAAACGATCGACGACGAAGCGAATAAAATAGCACGAGAAAATTCACACAAAAAAAAACACACAAATTTACGTGATTCGGCAAATTGCCTACATCCACGGAGTTGCAGAGGATATAATTGAGGAATTTACACAAGTCGATCACCTCGACTTAGAAGAGGAATTTCTCACTTCGTTGTTCTTTCTTGTTCTCTCTCTCTTTTCTTCTCTCTCTACATTGGCACCGAAGAAGACAAACTTACAAGTGAAATGAACTCAATTACTCTTCTGCCACAAGTCACCACGAAGAAGCCTAGAGAGAACAATCTTCTTCTTTCTTCTTACTTCTACCGCAAGGAACTACTTCTTGTACTTCTCTTCCTCTGTCCCGAGGAAGCCCGAAGAACTCTTCCTTTATCACCGACCGTGAATTAAAACAAAAAAGAGGGTCGTCTAAAGCCTTTATCGTGAACAGGAAGCTTTGGGATGAAAGGAGGTGGCGTTTCGCGAAATGGAGGCGGGAACGGTTCGCGTCGGGAGATGTCGCGACGATTCACCTCTTGTCGCGATCGAGCGGGAGGCTGGAATTGGCATCGATTCGCGAAACATGAGGTGGGCGCATGAGTTGGCGAAATAGGTCTCCAGCTTTAACAATCTCCCAATTGGAGACCGATACACAGACTACAACGTCTTCTTCCTCGAACTGATATTCTCCACTAGCGATGTCGTCTTTTTTCTTCAAACAAGAATCATCTACCTCTTCAACTCAAGGCCTATGTCTTCAAGCTAGAAGACCAACTGAAGCTGCGCACAACGTTAGTTTCTCCAGAACAACACCCTTTGTCAACATATCAGCAGGGTTCTCGCTTCCACAAATTTTCTTAAGCAACAATTTTTCGTCATCCAACAATGACCGTATGAAGTGATATATGATCTGAATGTGCTTAGTCTTGGACTGAAATGTTGGATTCCTGGCAAGGAATATTGAGCTCTGACTATCACTGCAGATAATTCCCTTCTGATTCTTCTTGCCCAATTTTTTCCTATAGTCATATCATCTACTTTGCAGCCTCTGACACTGAAAAGTTGTCTCTTGGTGAAGAGACACACCTCTTCACCAAGAGACACACCTCTTCACTTCAAGAAACTCCAACTTCCGGTATATGAGTCATACCTAACAATTCTCCACCTAAGTGAATATCCAGCCCCTTATGAGAAATACTTCATGGAGTTTCTTACACCGTAGTGGGTTGAGCAACCATGTCAACTAGCATCTACATCAACTAGCAATTACAAACATTCAACAAGTTCAAGTCACCCAAGAACTTGTTAAAAATATCTGGCTTTGTCAACATACCTGCTGCATTTTCTATCATATTATCTGACAGAGTGCACTCCACCTACAACTGTGCTCCCCAACAGTTGATAAATATTACCATTAGGTTTCGTAGCCCGCAATGCCTTCAAATATTTTCTTGTGCCAACAAATCTTTCATCTTTGTTTGCAACAATTTGAAGTTCCATGTTCCGCCAAACTTCATTATCTCAAATTTTGCATCAGACATTATCATTCGAATTTAATGCTGCAGCGTATTTTACCTGACTTGTATGAAATAAAACACACACCACAAATAAATTCAAATAAACCATAAATTTTCTCTGTCAATTTGCAGCAATTTCCTACAGTTTCAAGTGATTCGTGAATCAAATTTTTCACACGAAGCACATTTCCTGTTCGCACAAAAATTCGGCTAAAATACTGCGGCCACCAGCCAAACCCCACCTATCACAATTTATCCTGTGACAAACCTGCGAACACGCTCGTCGAGCACCACCTGTCGCAATTACACCTGCTGCATAACCTCCTGCGACAAACTTACGAACACCTGCAGCAACTCCTGCGACGAACTTGCGAACTCCGCTCGTCGAGCACCACCTGTCGCAACTGCACCTGCCGCAACTCCTGCGACAAACTTGCAAACTGCTCTCATCGAGCACCACCTGCCGCAACTGCATCTGTTGCAACTCCTCGTGCAACAAACTTGTGAACTACGTTGGCCAAGCACCACCTATCGCAACTGCACATGTCGCAACTCATGCGATAAACTTGCAAACAACTGTCGCATCCTGCGACAAACTTACGAACTTCGCTGGTAAAGCACCTATTACAACTGCACTTGTCGCAACTCCTGCAACAAACTTGCGAACACATGCCGCAACTACACCTTTCGCAACTCCTGCGACAAACTTGCGAATTCCGCTAGCCGAGCACCTGTCGCAACTGCACCTGCCGCAACTCCTGCGACAAACTTACGAACACATGCCGCAACTGCACTTGCCGCAACTCCTGCGACAAACTTGCGAGCTCCGTTGGCCGAGCACCACCTGTCACATCTACATCTCATGCGACAAACTTGTGAACACCTGTCGCAACTGCACCGGTAGCAACTCCTGTTCACAAACTCCACCTCGCCTAACACCGCGAAGGTTCGTGAACTGTCGCGCCTCGAGCCGCGATGGCCTCGACACCGCCTCTACCGCGAACTCACTGAACTGCCGCAGTGCCCCAAACAAGTGACTCAAACTGCTGCGAGCTGGAATCTGCGCCTTCGTTCGCTCTCCGCAATCGGAACCACAAATTCTTTTTCTTTGAATTCTTGTTCTTTTCGGTTTTTACTGCGTTGATCTCCTCCGCCCAAGAACCTCGCTATGATATCAATTGTTGTGAAATTTAGGACGAAACAATCACAGGAATCGACACAAATTCAGAAGACCAGAAGAAGAACGCAGAGATTTAACGAGATTCAGCAAAGATACCTACATTCTTGGGAACAAGCGGCGAATTCACTATTTCAGAGGAGTTCAGTTACATACCCAAAAGTTACACATATATATAGACATATAAAAAACACATATAAATTACCAACTCGCCCTCGCTCCCCCCCAACCCACAAAATATGAAGAGACACGACTCTTCACCATGAGACACCTCTTCACTTCAAGAAACTCCAACTTCCAGTATATGAGTCATACCTAACAAATCTAACCACACAGGCCGGTATCGACTCGGACGACTAATGATGGTTTGATGAAAGAATCAATAAAAAGCTATCATTAGCAATTTGTAATCCTACACAAACAACACCATAGATAATCATTGTGTTCAGCCTTTGAGCAGCAGTCAAAATGGCTCCATTTCATATCAAACAACTTCGATAATCAATGTCTTCACCTTTGAACAGCAGTGAAATTAACTCACCAAATGAAGTCTAAGAGTTTCAAAAACTAAAACTAGAAAGGGAAATTTACATATACACCACACAATTGTTGTGTATTTCCATATTTAACACCCAAGTTTTGATATTTACACTTATAACACTTGGTAGTCATAAAAATGTATATTTTCATTTAAAAAAAATTAGTGGTGATAGTATTTTTGATGTAATGTAAGAGATTTGAGTGGTCTGCCAGTAAAAATGAACGCTGAGGTGTTAGATATGTAAATACACAAGAATTGTGTGGTATGCATGTAAATTCCCCTAACAGAAAGCCTATCTGAAGAATTACTAGAGATGTGAAATGGCTGAACAATTTTAGCTGGTAAAACTAATGGATTAATCAAGTTATAAACTGCTTAGAAAGACCAGACTAGCTGACAAAACATGTGGATAGGAGACTTATGATAAACAAGTAGAGAGAGTGTAGCAATACAATGAGATCAGAAGTCTACCCAATCTCTCCCCTAATTCACTGAAGATTTAGCGTCCGTTCAGTTCAACTACGGCAGCCTATAAATTTTTTGCAAAGAAGGTCAAGTCTTTGAATGGGTATTGTGGATTTTTACGCCACAAAAATAGAACAATTGTTTAAAAATTATCAATCTCAAACAAATTTCATTGTAAAAAATTGCTGCATCATAATTTTCTAGAAGTAGAAAAAATCTAACCCAAAAAAAGGAAAAGAAAAAGAAAAAGAAATATGACTACACCATGTAAAATAAAATAATGAAAAGACTGTCCAACATTCTTTTTTCACACTTTGCCATACCCAAATTTGCTGTTGCCAAATCTTTCACATCACAGAAAAAATACCACTATTTTAATTATTAGAAAGTGGAATACAGATACTGATGCAAAGGTGAGGTGATATATATGTAAAAATTGAAGTTTAGGTGTTAGATATGTAAATACATAGGAATTGAGTGGTATGCATTTAAACCTTCCCTTTCTTTATAATGAATAAATGGATACTTACCAACAGCAAGAATGATGAAGCAAAATAAGCCCAATGAGCAAGTTCACAACCACTAAAACATGGATAATTTTGGAGATAAGAACTTGGTCTGAACATTAAGAAACATGACTATACACAGCACAAATGAAGAACACAACCTTCTACTTCATCATCAAATTTGTTTCTATGCATAATATGAAACCTTACTGTAACTAAATTGCTAGAGCTAAACAGTTAAAAAAGTTTTTCGTTTTGTACCGTGTTAAATCAAAAGCCGCAAGCTTATGAGCGAAAACTTTCAAACATCAATAATCGTGATAATCATCATAGAACGAACTATTGCCGCCTCTCCAGATCTTGGTTTCTTTATCAGACCAAACTTCAGTTGCAGTGCGGTTGTTGTTTCTTGATTTCGATGACCTCTCCGCCTGTAAAATCATATCAAATAATAGAGAGGTCTCATAAAACTTGAAAGATTAAAAAAAAATTCTCATCTTCTGGTATGTGAAGAATGAATAAACAGCATTTGATGCGGCTGGTTTCTTTCCATGAGATAAAGCAACTGATAAATGATAAAAAAACAAAAGATTTACATATATACCACTCAATTTTGAGTGTTAGATATGTAAATAAATAGGAATTGGATGGTATGTATATAAATGCCCCAAATCAAAATGATATAACCAAGATTTCTAAAACTCTTTTATCTTCAGAAGCTTGATGTAATTTGACAATGTTCAAAGAATTAGTCCATTTCTCATGGCAGAAGCTGTAAAGTGCGGTATTGTTCATAGACAGGTACATATGGTAACCCTGACTAACTATGATTTTTCTTGGTTGTACTGCTCAGGTAGAATTTACTCTCTTTAATCATGGGGCTTTTGCAAGATTTTATCAACGATCCGTTGGAGAAGTCATTGAGTAGCTGAAAACTGAGATAAGAAGATGATAGAAACTACATGAGGTGGAATAAAACAACAGGAGCAGCATTTTATTCAAAGCTTTTCTCTGATTCTTTTGTTCATTCAGTAAACCAACATTACACATGCAAATATGGGGTTGAATACAAATTTCTAGTAAAACGCAATTACTAGTGACTCGCCATTTATCAATGCTTACCAAATTTCTAGAGCTTCAAGCCTCTACCTCTGGACATTTCCAATGATTTTTTCATTATTCTGGAAAAAGTTTATTTTCCATAACACGTACTGCAAGGTTTCAATTTCAAGTGAGTTTGTAAATATATCAACTTGATCATCTGCCCTCAAATGAAAAAGTTTCGACTTTTTTAGCTTTAGCATGATATAGAGAAAATGAGTATTGGTGACTTAATGTCTGCATAAATTTTCATAGAACGTCGCAGTTGTACCTTAAGATCTTAAAAATAGGCTTCTTAGCCATGTAGTAATGAAAAACTCAAAATGTTTTAGCTACAAATTCTGCTTCACAGCTCGATAGTGCATCCAGAAAAGAAGCATTAAATTGAAAAAATAGACCCCTAACAATTTACACGGAGTCATTTTAGCCCCTGAGATTATAAAAGTGCTAAATAAGTCCCAAGGCTATTCTAAAGACGGCTAAAACCCTCATTGGGTACTTATTTCAACCCTTTTAAAAAAAGTCTCGGGATGAATTTAATAATTTTATAAACCCTTGGATTAAAATGATCCTGCAAAGAGTTATGGGACCATTTTGACACTTTTCTCTATATTTAGGAATTCTCTTAAAACATTTTCAAATGAAACCTTTTGGGGATTCCCAGAGATTTGCTGGTCAATCCAACCACGAATAGAATATGTAAGACATACATGCATACCATTCAATTTCTATGTATTTATGTATCGAACTCCAATTGCTACATACATACCACCTTACTTATGTATAAAAATGTGTATTTCACTTTTTAAAAGTTAATTTTGTGGGGATTTTTTTTTTTTTTTGGTGTCAGAGATTTAGGTGGATAAATATAAGAAAACAAAATTTAGGTAATAGAAATGTAAATACATAAGAATGGGGTTGCTTATATGTAAATGCCCCATAGTAAAATACCAGATTTGGATTGGTAAACGTCAGATTAAGACATAGCCCCGGACTATTTTAATTTTAATTTACCAACCTACTTTTCATTGGTCAAAATGATAACCTTATTCCACCAAGGTATCCATGGGCCGACAATCTTCCATTGAAAACTTCTTCATGATCTCATTCATATATTGTCTTTAGGAAATGTTAGAAGTTAAGAGGATTGGATTTATTTCCTTTCCTATTTATGTTGTTTCCTTTATCTCTAAGTAATTATTAGGAATTGATTAATCGGAGATATAGGTGTCATATCTTTCCTTTCTTTTTATTTCATTTTTTTCGTCTTTCCTATTCTAAGATTCATGTACAGTGCTTTTATAACCCTTTTTCATATCAATAAAATTATTCTATTCAATTCTCAAAACAGACATGGTCTCAGAGCCATGAAAAAAACCCTAGAGTCTCTGGTGAAGGAGAAGAAGATCTCCAGCGGCCGAAAATTTCCTTATTCTCTTCAAACGGTAATTTTTCCTTGACAGCCGCCACTGCCGCGGTTGTTTTCCTCATTGTTTTGATCATGGCGTGGAGGGATTTCGCTCCACCGCCACACTGGACGTGGCGGGATCGTCGTCTGTGGCATCCTCGTCGGCGCTAAAACGCGGAGCATTCATTGCACACGGCCAACGCAACAGGCGTTATCTATATCACCAAACAGCTTCTATGAGTCAGTTTATGGTGGTTGTGACCTCTTATGTGACTCACCTTCTTTTGTTGGAGCACCACAAATTCCTCCTCACTCCTCCCCGCTCAGCGCCTCCTCCCCGCTAAGCGAATCTATAAGGGCTCTGTTGCCATCACCAACCTTAACATTGGCGAGAATCAAAATTGTGCTATGAGAAAAATACTAACGTAATTAGGTGGTGGTGTCGGGACAGAACATTTATACTAGCCGTCCCTAGAGCATACCAGTCACTTATCTCCGGGAGAGATTTCCTTGCGAGATTGTGAATAACACCCACGTGCAATGTTGGGGAGGTCATGGTTTACACATCGAGAGCATGTTTCTGAATGTTTCAATGATGACCATCATTGCTAGAGACTCCCATGTCTGCATAATCAATATCTCAGGTTTGTTGATCTACAGGGGAAGCAACTGTTCCTATCAATTGAACGCTCCATCCGACGATGCCTTCGAGTTTTCTAGCACTCGGATTGAATCATTCGTGTGTTATAAAGCAGCCTAAGGTGTCACTCGAGACCGGAGTTATTCTCTGGTGGAAGGTGCCTTGTTTGAATCTATCGTCGCTAGTGGCGACCAAACTGGCGGTTTGATCATTAAGAACTTTACAGTGTTGTGTTGGAAAGCAGATCGCTACAATAGCTCCATCACCATTTTGCTTCTACCTAAAATTCTTCAAGAAATCTGCATTTCTGAAAAAAAATAAATATTTTTTTCCTATAAATGTGGCATCTTCTTGATTCAGAGTCACTTTGTTCTAGTTCTGGGATCATTTGCAGGTCCTGTGGGGCTCCCACTAAAAACTTGTTTCCACCGGCTCCACCAATAGCAGATCAACCACCAACTTAGTCACCTCCTTCGACATCTCCGTCGTCGAATACGAGCAAAGGGTGGCTTGCCTATGTTATCATTGGGTTTGTTTGGTCCTTTGTTGGGTTGTGCACCATCCTGTATTGCATATGGGCCAACATTTTTTGGTGAAAGAGTCCACAATTTTATGCAGGCCACAATCTCCCGCAAAGAAAACATTGCAGCAGGCTGTCCTCTGGAGTTTTCCCTGCAACAAGCCCTCCTCCGTCCTGCAGCAGGCCCTCCTCCGAAGCTTTTTTTCTGCGGCAGTTTCTCCTTTCCCTCCACGTGTTATTCCTTATTACATGTAGGTTATCTTACAACTTTTTCCTGCATGTGTTCTCTCTTTTTTTCTGCAGGCCACACCCTGTCGTTGTTCTACCTTTTTACTAGCTAGTCATATCCCGCAACTTTCCCGACAGGTGTTCTTTTTTTCCTGCAGGTTATAACCCGCAGCATTCCCTACAAGTGTTATTCCTTTTTACCAACAAACCTACAAGGCCATACCCTGCAACTTTCCTTGCAGCTGTTTTTCCCCCCACAAGCCATACCATGCAGCTTTCCCTGCAAGTGTTCTTCCTTTTTTACCTGCGGGTGTTCTTTTTTTTTCCTGCAGGCCATAACCTGCAGGTGTTCTTTTTTTACCTGCATGACCATAGCCTAAAACTTTCCTTGCAGGTGTTCTTTTTTATCTGCAAGCTATACCTTGCAACTTTTCTAAAGATGTTCTTCATTTTCTCTGCAACCATACCCTGTAGCTCTCTGTAGGTTATCTACTTCCCTACAAACTTCCCTGCAACATTATCTGTAGCATTCTGCTTACTTACAGACATTGCACAAACTATAGTCAAAGACAACTGCAGTCAAGAGAAAGTATCCATAAATGCTCTTAAGGTTGATTACCAAGTATGAGATGAATACTTCAAGTTCTATCGCATAAAGAATCTTCCTTGTCCATTGTTTGATGATTTCAAATCTAATTTGAACAAGATTGACATTTATGTTTCAATTTGAGGGGAGTGTTAGAAGCTATGAGGATTGGATTTATTTCGTTAGATTGTATTTATTTCCTTTTCTATTTTATGATTTCCTATTTAATGTTGTTTCCTTTATCTCCAAGTAATTATTAGGAATTGATTGATTGGAGATATACGGTTATATCTTTCCTTTTCAGTTATTTTCTTTTTCTTGTCTTTTATATTCTAGAATTCATGTAAGGTGTATTTGTATCCCTTTTTAATATCGATAAAATTATTTTCCTCAATTACCCTACAGCCTTTTCTGTTGGTTATCTACTTCCCTGCAAACTTTCCTGCAGCATTACCTATAGAATCATTTTGTTTACCTACAAAAACAACAGAACTACAATCAAAGACAACTGCAGTCAATTAGAAGTATTCTTAAATGCTCTTGAGGATAAAGACTTCAAGTTCAACCTCACAAAGGATCTCCTCGTTAGTTGTTTTATTATTTCAATTTTAAGTTGAATGATTGACATCTATATTTTAATTTGAGGGAGAGAGTTAGAAGCTATTAGGAATTGATTATTTCCTTTTTTTTATTATTTCCTATTTTATGTATTTCCTATTTTATATCTTTCATTTTATCTCTGGTAGTTAATAGAAATTGATTAATTATAATATTAGAGATATGAGTATTATGTCTTTCCTATTTTAGAATTCATGTAACATGTGTTTATACCCCTTTCATATGAATAAAATTATTTTCGCTTAATTCTCAAAACCTACATATTTTATGTATTTCCTATTTTATATATTTCCTTTTATCTCCGATAAGTTATTAGGAATTTCATTAATTGTAATCTTAGAGATATGGGTATTATGTCTTTCCTATTTTAGAATTCATGTACTTTCAATCAATAAAATTATTTCTGTTGAATTCTCAAAACCTACATGGTATCAAAGCCTTGAAAACCGCCGTGAAATCTATAGAAAAATATAGAAATCAAACCATAGAGGCCGAAACAAGTTATGATTAAAGTGAAAGATAGATCAGAAGACATCAGTAGAGGAACTCACAAGTAAAAAAAAAAATCATATTTCTAAGATGGGAAGAAAGAAGAAGAAAAGATGAAATAATATTATATATAAAAAAAATTAAAAAGATTTATACAAAACCGAAAATAAGAACATCTAGAGGATGAGCTTGAGATAAAAAAAGCCTTGATCCATAGATCAGACTAAGTACTAACATCAAAGCCAAAAAAATCAAGTTATGTTTAGAGACAATGATTAAAAACCACAAAAAACTTAAGGACGAGATTAACAACTTGCAAAAATTTATAGTCTCATTTGTCAAATATGTTTAAAATAAAGAAAAACATCTTCAAAACGTGTAGATTAGTTAAAAACAGAAGCATAGTTTATGGCTTTGGCAAAATCAAGTCAAAATAATATAGGATGGAAGCTTTGATCCTTTAAAATTAACTTTCAGGTGGGTGGAATGGGGAAGAACAAAAAACACCAAAGACTTTATAGGATTTTCAAAAATTACAAAAATTGTGGAAAGTTTATGGAATCTGATCTTTATGAAGGAAAGTCTCTAAAAGTGGCCCCTAGCCTACTTCTATCAATCCAATTTCATGTTGAGTTGGCGGGGGATCCTACCAATTTCTAGAAAATAATATAGTGGTATATTATGTGGAACAGATGGAAATGGATTTTTGAAGAATAGCTTCAATAACTCAGAAGAACAAATGAAAAATAAAAAGTCATTATGTCAAACCCAAATAGTTGGGATAAGGCTAAGAATAATGAGGGCATGAGTCGAATATTTTGGGAGGCAAAATTATTTTTTTATATCTAGCCTGACTTTTTATTTAAGTGTCTTATCTACCATAACTATAACCTTAGAAAATAAAGTCTAATCGTCACGGCCTAATTGGAACAAAAAAAACATGAATAAAGAATTTTATGCATCAAATTTTGATTTGTAGAGGAGGCATATCAAAGATTGTATGTATTTGAAAAAGTTACATTAATCTTTTCTTGGTGAGAAGCTAGAACAAATAAAATAAAAAAATTTGAAAATCTTGGATAGAGAATCCATGTGAGAAATTAAGTTATCAATTACTAGTTCTAATATTATAAGCGAAAAATTATGATATGGTTAATGAAGATGATATCAAGTATGTATGAGAAATCATGGAAAAAAATTTAGATACACATTTGATGCAACATATTTTTTATTTGAAAATACAGGAGGGATCTTTCATTAAGACTTAATCAAAGAGATGAACTCGATTACAAATCAATTAGTAAATGTATGGATTGATTTTGATAAAGAACTTCAATCATTATTTCTAGGGGTGTCAATCAATGACAGGACGTGACAACTCAGACCCGAAAAACTCTGGATTCGGGTTGATTTCATTAACTTTTGAGTGAGGTTTGAATTGAAAATTTTGACCAATTAATTTTGGCTCGAGTTCGGGTTGACAAGCCAACCCAACTCTGACCTACTAACCCATATAATGTTTTACATTTAACTTTGATTCAATTAGTTCACATTTATTGTTTGATGAGACATTTATTATCGTGCAATTTATATATCATATTTGTACTAATTTTTTTATATATACTTGTTTAAGAACACGTTAAGCAGTTATTTAAGTTAGTAACAAGTCAATCATGTCATAGGCAAACCAAGTTTGGGTTTGGCTTTCAACCTGCTTAATAAATAGGAAGTGTTTAGGTCATACATATTCGAGTCGGGTCAACTTTCAATCCAGAAATGACTCGTTAACCCAAATTAATAGCCCTAATTATTTCTATCATCCTTTTCATTAGTTGATTAATACAAATAGTATTATGATTAGTATTATGACTAGTACTTGTAAATCAAAAAAAAATGTTTAAGAACAATGAAGTAAAAGATTTGACTTTGAGTGAGGATACTCAATGAATAGAATTTGATAAAACTTAGAGATCTCTCTCGAGTATTCAATGTAAAAAAATAAAGAGCTCATTGGATTTAATATCAGGTTATATCTAAATTTCTAAAAAGAAATCAATGTTTGGCAAAGTGAATCGCTTGAATTGTGGCAATAAAGGGCACTTGAAAAAGAATTATCATTAGAAAAATAAAAATTATAGTACAGGCTTTATTAGTGATGCAAAAACTACAAATAACTGATAATTTAAATATTTCTTAATTAAGAGTGCTGTATATTTATTGGAATGATGGATTCTATATTTTAGAGCTTCATTTCA